ATGATATGTGGGGAGATTAAGACATTGTTTAGGGTAAGGGGAGGGGATGTGGGAAGGGTCCCCTTACCAAAACCAGTAGTGCTCACTTTAGAACCATTACCAACAATAATATGCGTAGGAGAATTAATGCTTGATGTAAATACATGAGATAAAGTACCTGGATCAGAAGTTATGTGATGGGAAGCTCCGGTGTCCATGAACTAGTTGGGTTGGGTGGGGGTGAGGGTGAGGTTCTCAAGAGTGTGGGCCAAGGCAGTTGGGTTGGGTGGGGTGGTGTAGTATTGCGGGTAGGCAGGGGTGTGGGCTGGGGGGGTGGGGTTCGGGTATGGGCAGGGCTGGGTTGGGTAGTGGGCTGGGTGGGGGAATGGGTTTGGGTTTGGGTGAGTTGGGCTGGATGTGGGGTAAGATGGGTTGGGGGAGAATGGGTTAGAGGGATATGTGCTGTGGTGGAGGTGGGCTTGGGCAAGGGGGCGGGGCGGGTAGGGCCGAGGCCCAAGTAACCCGGGGGAAGGGGAGGGATATGTCAAGGGATTTGGGCCCGAGGGTTGCCGCGGGTTGCTGCCACCGCCACGACCTCGACCGCCGCTGCGACCTCTGTCGCGGTTGCCGCCTCCACTACCACCGCCAGAGTTCCTGCCGCGTCCGCCGGAGCCGCCGCCATATCTGCTGCCAAAGCTGCCGCTGCCGCTGTTCATAGATCCGCCGTAGCCACTGCCTCGGTCCTGCCAGTGTCCGCTGCCCGCATAACCGCTGGTGCCGCCGGTGCTGAGTAGGGCTGTGGACGGCGCACCGGCGGCATAAACAGCATCGTTTTGTTGCTGTTCAACGAGTAGTAACGCAGACCGAACCTCCAAGAACGTTGGGAGTGGATTTTGATATTGTAGAAATTGAACTTGACCTCGGATGTCGTGAGGGAGACCTTGAAGAACTTGGAGGACAAGGGCATGTTCGGTGACAGGAGCATCCACATCATCAAGATACTCGGAGAGGTTCTTGAGAAGGCGACAATATTCGTTGATGGAGAGTTGCTCCTTCACAGTTGTACAGAAACAATGATGCTCCAGTTGCATTGCCCGGGCATGCTTATTGTCGTGAAAAAGATTGTAGATTGCCGTCCATAGGGCATGAGCAGAGAGATTGTTGGCAAGCACAAGGTCGGAGACTTCATCCGTGATTGTGGACAAGATCCATCCCTGAATTAAGGCATCAAATTGATACCATTCAGCATCGTCTACGGAGGAGGCGATGGTCGTGCCGTCGATGAAACCTTTGAGATTGAAACGGAGGATCAAGAGACGAAATAATCGACTCCACTTTTTATAATTTGGTTCTGAGAGACTGAGTTGCACCGAGATATGAAGCTTGATGTTGGAGATAGTGGTGAAGGCAAGATGAGGAGAATTATTTGGAGAAGAGGTTTCGTTGTTGTTGGGGGTGAAAAAGACAAGGAATGGGGAACCTGGTCTCCGAACGGTCCATCACATCGACCGTTGTTAGCGAAACGGTCGACCGTTTGGGGTACCGATCAGAATCTACCAATGGTTAGTAAAAAGGTCGACCAATCTAGGGAAACGGTTCAGAGCATCGACCGTTCGGTACCCTGTGCGCGATTCAAAAATAAATTTGGTAAAATGTTAATAACTTTTTCTATGCTCATCGGAATTGAGTAATTCAAGAACCGGCGATCTCGTATTGAGAAGAGCTATAACTTTAGTTAATTATTTTTAGAAAATATGATTTTCTGAAATATTTACCAAATGTATTTTAGAAATAAATACCCAAGTAAACATATATTTTTGTGTGTGTGCAAAATTTAGCTTGAGCTTAGAGATATATCATTTAAATCTCTTTAACAATAAATGACTCCAAACTATTCTATGCTAGTCCTATGTGAGCGAACGTATTGACGCAATCAACGCGCTTTAGTGGATTTTGACATTCCTACATAATTGAACAAACATTAGCTCAAATAAATTATTTCTTAACATCAAAACAAGAGAGTGAGCATTCCAAGGCTAACAATCTCCCCTTTTTTGATGTTGATAAATAATTTACTTCAAAGGGAGATTTTAGGAGAGAGTGAAGGATTCACGCAAGCTCCCCCTAAAGCATAGCATATTAAAAAACTTCTCACTTTACGTTTTCCATGTGTTAAAAAGATTTGATGATTATTCTTGAAGCACACAATATTTTATAAAATAATTTTAATTTGAAGTTCACTTATTTCTCCCCCTATTTATCAAGAGCAAAAAGGGAAATAAATTGTGGAAAAATCTCCCCCTAAAACATTTTGATAAAACATTGCTTAAAAAATCTTAAGAAAATTTTTTAGTATACCAAGGCAAGACAAAAGAAACATAGAGTCAACGCAACATAAGAGCAATTATCCATTTTTTCTAAAATACCTGTCTCAAGCAAGTTCATAATCATAGTAAGAATGAGATAATGAGGAAAAATAAGCAAAGTTTAATAAAATGGATGAAGATAATCATCAATGTTATGCATGTTGTCAATGGCACGAATATCATCATCGTCATCCAAATTCACTTGAGAGGAAGAGGCACCTCCAAATTCGAATGGTGTTGAAGTAGAAAGAAATGAACTCATACTATGTCGATGTTCGGCAAGACTTTCTCCTTCTTGCAAATTCTCCTCGTTGATTGTTTCGAGGTCTTCCTCAACAACTTCCTCAATGATCGGCCATTTGGATTTCTTCTTAGCACTACTCTTTTCCTCAGAAGAAGAAGATGATGATGACGGAGATTTAGGCCTACCAATCAATTTTCTCATTTTGTCAAAAATCTTCTTTGTCACAGACTTGGTTACCTTCTTTGTGATGCTTTCCTCCATTTGGGCTATCTTCTCATCTATATACATCTTTAATGAAAGATCGATGTTTGCGTGTGTAAAACAAGAGTGAGGCATGGAAGAAGCACGTGGAGGGATCTCAACACTCAGATGGGGGTTTGAAGAGGAAGAATTGGCAAACTTGCTCAAATTATGCTCGTGTCTCCACTAATTTTTCTCTTCCACCGGTATTTGGTTATAGGAGGCCTTGGTGTGAAAACCATTGAAGTGTTGAAAAATCTTTGACCTTCGAAGGCTTGTTGCATCCATCTTCTTGTAATCATAGTTCCTCTTGTGGTGTTTTTCAAGCTTGATTTTGGCCTTTCGGAACACTTTGGTTAATGCCATGTCATAGGGAAGTTGTCTGTGACTCTTGTGAATCCACATGGGTTGCATTACCATTACCGGGAACTGAATAAGGGAATTTGTTTCCAAGTGATAGACGATGGAGCATTCAAGCATACCAACAATGGAGTAATTGCTTCCGGTAGGCAAAAGACATTCTTTTAAGATTTTCAAAAGAATTTGTTGATTAACATTCAAAAATTCTCTTTTAGGCCTAACAATTCCGGAATGTTCAACACTATTGTGTAGGCTATCAACACACATAGTTAGGGTGTTGCCCTTGATGCCCCAACCATACCAATCATACGTATCAAAGCCATCCAGATTATCAATAATACCAAAACATTCACAAATTTCCTCAATTCCAAGGATTATAGTTTTGTTCTTAACCCTAGATTTGAGAAAATTAGTTTCTTTTCCTTCATTATCATCATCAATCTTAGTTTCCATGGATAAGTTGTCATAGAATTCATAAACAAGATCATCATAAACCAATTCATCTATAGAGACAAACCCTAGCAATCCTTGAAGCCTAAGAACCGAAATTATGGATTCGGGGAAATCCGATAGGTTGAGAATTTTACCCAGAGCAATTGTGCGCTTGTTGGTGTTCTTCTTGGGAGCCATGTTGAAGTTCTTGGGCCAAACAAAAGAAGAAATTCTTGAGAGAGGGAGTGCTGGAACCAAAACGGAGGAAGGAGGCGGAAGAATACATGGACCGTGATAGGGAGGAGATAGATTTTTTAAAATATTCTGACGCGACGATGGTCGATCTTGTGGACCATTCTTTCCCGCGGTCGATCATTTGTATGGCAGGCTTCTGGACCAAATTTTCACGGTTGATAAGATGGACCGTTCAAATACCACGGTCGACCGTTTGTGTCACAGAGCGAGGTCCAATTTTGATTACTACAGACGGTTGACTAGATGGACCGTTGGTATTCCGCGGTCAACCGTTCGGCGATGCCTTGTCTGACCCTTTGTTTTCCAGTACTTACGGTCCACAGGCTGGACCGTTGTATATGACGGTCGACCGTATTATTTCTAGTGTCCCTTTATCTTTTAATTCCTCCAATCCTCTTATTGTGAATTTTGATGATGATGATGATGATGATGTGATGCTGACAAACATGATTTTGAGTATATTAAATATATGAAGGATAAAGGAGACTTACCTTGGTTTATGCCGCTCTTTCTTCGGCTTTGAATACGCTTCTTTGTCTTCACGTATTTTTTCCATTTGAGGAAATCCGTATACTTCATTCTCATTGCCTTCTCCTGATCTTTCTCATCATTTGATTTTTCCGAGGACCTTGAGTCACTTGAATCATCACTTGACTCACTCGATTGTTCACTTGATGAGTCATTGGAAGCTTTGAAGGCGTTGGTATGTTTGGGATTTCACACATTTCTTCGTCTTTGATCTTTCTCAACAAAAGTTCATGAGAATACAAGGAAGACCAAATGTGGGCGGTTTTAGCCTTATCACATTTGGGTAATAAATCTACGATACTACTATGCCATTCTTTAGGTAAAGAAAATAGAATTTTCGTATTAAGCTCGAAACTAGTATACGTCTTACCCAACTTACTCAATTTGTTGACAATCTCGTTGAACCTCTTGTTCATGTCTTGGATTGTCTCACATGGCCCTTTCTTGAAGAATTTGTATTCGGAATTTTCAAGGGAAATCATTGTTTGCTTAGTTGGGACGTCGCCTTCATGAGTAGCTTGCAGCAAGTCCCATATCTCCTTGGCCGTTTTGCATCAGCATACTCGTGCAAACTCATCGGGGCCGAGAGAGCAATGGAGGATGTTGATTGCTTTTGCATTCATGGATAGTTTTCTCTTATCTTCCGAAGATAATCCTGTAAGATTACCACTACTCGGTACAAATGGCCCGTAAAGTACATTTAACCATAAATCAAAATAAATGGATTGTATAAAGTATTCCATCCGCATTTTCCAATAAGAAAAATTTAGGCCATTGAAAAACGGAGGGCGGTGAATGCTTTGGGATTCCATTGTGGAGGCCTTTTTTTTGAATTTTTAAAATCAGGGATAAAAAACTTTTGACATTTTAAAATTCAATTTAAAAGGGGCACAACAAGGATATCTTTGTCGTAGATGCGATTAAGCACTTTCAACTACGAAACCGCTTTGATACCACTTGTTATTTAGTGTTAGTCGTTGTGCCCATGCCTTAGAGGGGGGGGGTGAATAAGACGTTTGAACTCTTTTCGGGTTTGATAAAAACGGTGTTGGCAAATGCGGAAGCAATGTATAAAACGGAGAAATAAAAGCGTATAGTAAAATGCACACCGATTTTATACTCGTTCGGGAAACCATACTCCACTACCTTAAGGCTCCTTCTTAAGGATTTCCAATCCACGAGAATGTCTTGACCGTTTCAACACGATCGTCACGACTGAACGAGTTTTTGGCAAACAAACCTTTGCTAATAGGTTTACACTAGATCAACAATACTTCACGCCTTGAAGTATCCAACTAGTTTGAGAATTTTCCAACGGCTATCCCCAACCGTGCACTGAAGATTTGCAGGATGTCTTCAACCTAGAGATTTTGCAATGGCTATCTCCAACTGTCTTAACAAGGATTTCATGGATGTCCTTGACCGCTTCTGGAGATTTCACCACGGCTATCTCCAACCGTACTTCAATGAAGATTTTGCAACGTATATCTTTGACCGATTACAAAGAATATGAAAATTGAATAATAATATGAATCAACACCACCTCAAGAATTCAAAATAGAAAGTCGGGTGGGTGTGATAATATTTATACACTCTAACAATTACAACTCTCTTATAGATGATATGAGTGTATATCTCTTTGCATCAAGCTCAATGTGTGTTCAAGAAAATATAATGAAAATGGCTCTTAATAGCCTAATATAAAAATCAGAGATTTTTAATATATGAACACTAAATAAAAAGAGTTAAGAGATTTTGAGCAAAGCTTGATACTTTAAAACATTGAAATGGTTTGGGTATTTATAGGGATGGATTAGGAGTTGTTTGAAATTGAAAAATAGTTGTTAGAGAAGAATAATTAACTCCGAATATCATAATTAAGAGAATCCAACCGTTGGGGGTGAAAATGACAAGGAATGGGGAATCTGGTCTCTGAGTGGTCCATCACATCGACCGTTGTTAGTGAAATGGTCGATCGTTCAAGGTAACGATCAGAATCCGCCAACGGTCAGTAAAATGGTCGACTGTTCTAGAGAAACGGTTCAGAGCATCGACTGTTCGGTACCCTGTGCGCGATTCAAAAATAAATTTGGTAAAATGTTAATAATTTTTTCAATACTCATCGGAATTGAGTAATTCAAGAACCGGCGATCTCATATTGAGAAGAGTTATAACTTTAGTTAATTTTTTTTTAGAAAGTATGATTTTTGAAAAATATTTACCAAATGTATTTTAAAAGTATTTACCTAAGTAAACATCTTTTTTTGTGCGTGTGCAAAATTTAGCTTGAGCTGAGAGATATATCATTCAAATCTCTTTAATAATAAATGACTCTAAACTATTCTACGCTAGTCCTATGTGAGCGAACGTACTGGCGCAATCAACGGACTTTAGTGGATTTTGACATTCCTACATAATTGAAAAAACGTTAGCTCAATTAAATTATTTGTTAACATCAAAACAAGAGAGTGACCATACTAAGGCTAACACATGTAATTAAATAAATCTCTAGCTCATAATAACCCTATGATCTTGAGAACAGATCTATAATCATCTTTCAACTTGTCAAATATGTTTAACTACTATTTTTATTTTGAATAGATACATATCCTGATCAATGACATATCATATCTACTAAAGTCGTACCATTGATGTGAAACCAAAGAATTACCATACAAAGAAACATGCTACATTTTTTTACTATTTGATCACCCATGATTCATCATTAGTGTAAAGTCCACAACTTTCAATTTGTTATTTCCTTTTAGAAATGTTACTGGTAAAAACTTTAACGACATAATTTATGATGGTTTGTACGGTAATTAACTCGCATTCCTATACATTAACGACATACCTTGATACCCACCAATTTAAAAACACTCAAATTTCAAAGAGTAATGTTGAAATATTTATTTATTTGTAAACTCATCATTTGTAGAATTTTGTGAACTGAAATCGTTGATTATTTCCTTGATACGTCAGAGTATATATACATGAGTTACGGGCCCAACATGACTAGCCCAATATACAACAATACAATATAAAACATATATACATAACGCTAACACATTTCTTAATGAAGCGTGTCAAAGATTAAACAACTCTCAATTTTCTGGACCACGTCCACCATACTCTTTTAAGTGAGACCTTACACCTCCATATGGTGTAACTATTAACCCATGCTTAAGCGTAAACCCCGCGTCTCCGACATAGAACTTTCATACAAATATTTCATACAGCAAAAGTTCTCAAGTTTAAATAAATACCTTAAACAAAGAAATACTAATAAACTGTAGATAGTTATAAATAAACTAAACATGTGGAATATTAAGGAAATTATGCCTAGATAAAGCATTCTTCAAGACTTTTGAGTCAAACGCGGTCCCTTCCCAACCCACTAATGCATACAAAAATCTCATATAAACAAATATGAATACCTTATGTAAAATATGTTAAGTATACATTCAACATTTAATGTTATTAATATATTTGGTAGATTCTTTGATTTTATAAGATTTGCTATTAATGTTGTTTCCTTATTCATGTCAAGGAGGTGGATTCTTTGTAATTATCATTGAAATAGAAACTCATCATGGTATCAGAGTCAACCCTAGGCTAATCCCGAACCATATCTGTTATCTCCCTCAGCATCGTCCCCTCTTTTTCCCGTCGGCTCTCTTCACAGCGACTGTCTCCACGCCGGCAACCCCCCTAGTTCAGCAGCTTCCTCTCACCGAACACCATAGCCAGCAAACCCCTTAACCCTCTCTTCTCACCATGTCTTCAGAAAAATAAACGTCCTCTCCAACCCCCACTACAAATACCCCCCATCCTGCCTTCACGACAGTCTCAAATGTCAAACTCCAGGTTCACATCACTCTCAGTTTCTCAGAACCCAACTACAAAAAATGGAGTCGTCTCTTTCTTCTTTTAGTTCGACGCTTCAATCTTGAAGGTTTTCTCACTGGTGTGACCACCTCCACGGGCAAAGATGATGTTGAATGGGTTCAAATTGACGCACTCATTCAAGGATAGTTTCTCTCTACCATCAACAACGAAGTTTCGGATCTCATCATCTCCTCCACCACCTCTGCTGCAGATTTATGGAAAGCAATCCACATTTGTTCTATGACAACAAAGCCGCTCGAGCAATGCAATTGGAACACCGCTTCTAAAACACCATCAAGGGCACATGCACCACTACAACTTATTGTCAAAACCTTCGAAACATTGCAAACTAGCTTGATGATGTGGATGCCCCGGTCACAGAGAATCAACTCGTCCTCTAGACTCTTCGTGGGCTCCTGATGATCATAGTTTTTCGGGTAGTAAACCTTCCCAATTAAGGGTTAGTTTTCTCTCCTAGTGTCGTGTGTCTTGAGAAGTGGTCGAAAGGAATTAGTTTATTTCTCTAATTAGGTGAAGGCTTCGACAGGTTTATGAAAGTCTTCTCGAAACAAAATAAAATAGTGCAATAAAGAAAGTAAATTTATTCACATAGTATAAGCAAGGTCTGGACCTAGGGTCATGACTTTGTCTAGGTCTACTATATCACATTTAATTAAGAGTTGGAGCGATCGTATCTCTACTACTATTCACCTATTACTAGGATTCCTAATTACTCTGCTTGTCATGAATACTTCAGCCTTACGGTGTATAGTATTTTCTCA